TGTGCATCTGTTATGTTGGGGTGACAATTTTGGATATAATTTGGTTGAGAAGTAGGTGATGAGTTTTCGATAGATGTTTGAGTGTTCGTATTTTTTGTGCATTGAGAGGCTAGATGACCTTGTTGTTTGCAAATGTAGCATGACTGTTTTTCAAGTGAAAAATATATTCGATAATTGATTTGTTCGTAGTTAATTAATATAGACTCAGGAATATTTTCTAGATTTTTAGGAGTAATGTAAGTATAACGTCGGAAACTCAAGATATGCTTAAATAAAGAATTAGTTGTTCCTATTCTTAGAAAATCCAATGGAGTTATTTGATGAATTCCAATATTTTGTAGTTCAGTCTCTATAATACTGTGAGGTATTGATGGGTGGATATTAGAAATTATCAGTTTTTCACTTGGTGTGATTAACTTCCTGACTTGGATACGTTCCTGATTGATTAGTATGGTTCCATTATCTCTTCCTAAAAATTCGGTGACTGTCTCTTCAGTAGTAAAATATATGCAAATACGATCATTTGCAATCCTGGAAATGGCGAGAATTTTATTGGGATCGACCTTAGTTGCTATGGCATTTAAATAATCTTCAATTTTGGTATTTGGAAGTGAATTGAACAAAATGGCTTGGTTTTTGCTTGGGAATTTTTTGTTAGGTGTAGTCAGAGCGGTTGAATATAATTTTGATTGATTGGATGGATTAATGACATCTTGAGAATTTTGAAGTTCAGAAGTTCTTTCCTCTGAAATTTCCTGCATATTGGGCCTATGTTGCCTGATTACGGCCCTGGTGCTTGGACAGGTTCATAAGTAATAAGTAATTAAGCTACTTAATTACCTCGCTACTGGTATTTATAACCGTTTACTGCTTATTGATTAAAAAATAATAATAAAGATGGTCTAACTTACAGTTTGATCCCAAAATTGGATTAAGCACTATATAATACACTATTATACCAACTTTGATAATTTTCTAACAAGTAAAACCACCTTAATTTTGATAAAAACTAAGAGCTAATCGGAAACACTGTTTACTCGTCAAGCTCGTTTTTTCTTCCCCAAACGACAACATTATACATCTAGAAAACGCCATTCACGAATCTTTTAAAAATAATTAAAAAGGTGCGGCAATTTACTTTTATACATGGATGATACAGCATTTGATATAGTATGGAAAGACCGCATATTGAACATTATAAAAAAATTGGAATGTCAAGGAAATATTTTGGTCTTCATAAATAATTTTTTAACTTAAGTCCAAGCAAATGTTGCCATATCCTATCTTAGCGAATAACAAAACGGAATCCCACAAGGATCTATTATCAGTCCTACTCTATTTTTATTAGTTTAATAAACGATATAATTAAAATCATTGCGAAACCTGTTCAGACAAGACTAGATGCTGATGACCTAATTATTTACATCAAAGGCCCTAAAATGAACTAGTAAGTTGGTCCCTAAGTACCGGTTTTAGGTTTTGCTCTAATAACACAAAATGTATAATATTTTCAAAAAAACATTTCGAGGATAAACCAAACCTAATGCTTGAAAACCAAAATCTTTTCTATACAAACGAAATACAATTTCTAGGACTGATATTTGATCAACAGTTAAATTGAAAATGTGATATCTAGCAGTTAGTTCTTTCAAGTCGAAATGGCCTTAATTTGTTAAAGTACCTAGCGTTTAAAACTTGGGGCGCTGGTGGGAAATTCGAACAGTCAATTGTAATCTATTACAATTCCAAAAAATAACACAAACCCTAATCTTATCATACAACTCTTCAGAGATCTAATTAACTCCCATTCCCATTACACAGTATACTACACAGACGCGTTTTAAACTGAAAATGGAGTCGGAGTAGCAATAATTAACAGCACAGAAATTCTCAAATATAGAATTCCAGATACTGCAACTATATTAACAGGATAACTCTATTCGATTTAATAATCAATACTACACGCAAATGCAAATTAGATGAACAAAATTTTAATCGTGATAGATTTTATGTCATCACTACAGATAATCAGAAACATATACACGCAGCTTTAGTGATTAGCTTTACTAGCTTTACTAATAAAGGAAGAGCTAAATAAATTGCATACTGAAGATTCAAGCATCAAGTTTTCTGGGTTCCATCACATGTTGGAATAGCAGGTAACGAAGCAGCAGACAAAAATGCCAAAGAAGTTATAAATGACAACAGTATCTCAATCGCATCCCAATCTGCAGGTATGGATCTAAAAAGCTACTTTATAAAGCACCTGTTCGAGAACTGGAACAAGAAATGGAAATCCACACCATCAAAGCTTCAGGAGATAAAAAATAAGATTGAACCATGGCAACCACCCGAAGTATCCAGACGAAAGCAAATAATTATTTTCCGTTTACATCTTGAACATACCCAGTTTTCTCATGAACATTTGTTTAAGAAAGAAGAACGCCCAATAATAAAATATCAGAATTTTATATCAATCCAAAGTTACAGGAACATCTCTCAGAATTTCACCTCAAAACGTGGCTAATACCTATAAGTTCGAGGCCAAATAAGTCAACTGCCAATTTGGTATTACCATTCAGACACCAGATAAAATAATATCTGATATTATAAGAACATTAATCAGAAAGTAGTAAGTAAAATATGTTTGACGTAATGAATCTACATACACAGAAAGGCAAAATCATATAAATTCACAAAGATATTGACTTAAAACATAATACATACATATATCCGCTTAACCTAAAAAATAGAATAAACAGAATAATACACATACAAATCATCAACATAAGTGATTAATTGAATATTGTAAAAATACATATACTCAAATAAATCATCGTTATAAGGAAAATTTTAATGGGTTATAAATAACTATTGTCATCCTGTCAGCTGTTTAATCGCCTATAAATCTTAACATGACAAAAGGTAATAATGTCGTTAAATGGTCTTAGTATGTACAATTTTCATATATTTTCCTATAAACAATATTTTCTAGTACAAGTTGTCTACATTTGAATTAACTTCAAAACAGAATAGTTTTTCATTGTTTATTTATTGTTACTACTTTTTGTATTACTTTTTGTATTATTTGTATTATTTGACTGATTTATTTTTTAGCTTTGTCCATAAAATTGTTCAATAATTTTCAGTGACAATAAAGCATATTTCTATTCTATTCTATTTTATATCAGAAGTATCCCTTGGTATTACGATTTATTTAAAATTTATCCAAAAGTAATTTCAAAATAATCAGTCATCTTGGAAAAATTTTAAGAGCTTCTAGGAATTTTTGAAACAGAAAATGATCTTTTTTTTAATAATGGTTCAAAAAAACTTTTTTGAACCATTATTAAGCTAAATAGGTAAAGGAACCACCAATACATTTTTTAAATAAATAATAGGGAAAACAATGATGTCCATTTTATAAGAATTTTAGGTAATCAACTTATTATGTTGATCATATCCGGTCGCAAACACGTGCTAAATTGTACAGGAATGACACCAACGGTGTCCAAGTAACAAAGCATTAGAAAATACCCATACTGGTTAAACCAGAGAACTAGCCGGTTAACCGTGCGTGACAATTTCCTTCTTTGGTTCTTTTCGCGGCAGTTTATGTCGAGGTGAGTTCGAGTTAAGAGTATTTGTGTGACGACCTGTTAAAAAAAAACAAGAAACGGAAGAAAATTGGCCGAACTACAGATGTAATGAAAAAGTGGAAGTGGAGTCTCACAAGTTAGGCGATGATTGTAAGTGTAGAAGAAAGTGTTTTGAAAACACTTCTGCTCAAGAGAGGCAAAACATACTTAACGCATTCAATCAACTAGGATCAATAGAGGCTCAAAACATTTATTTAGCTGGCTTGATTGCTGTATTGCCAGTTGAAAGACGAAGGTCATGGCAAGTCGATAGAGAATAACATCATGATGCTACCTATCGCTACTAAGTACGAGTGAAGAGAGAAAACATAATAGAAGAAATATCTGTCTGCATTAGTACCTTTACTGCAATACATGGTATCACTAGATGTAAGTTAATTTACATTTAAACTTCGCTGAAAACTTCCGGAATTGCTCCTGTCGACAAAAGAGGAAAGCATTCTTTGAAACATCGTCAATTAACTTCTGCTTTGAGTACCCTGTTTCAGCAACATATTGCTTTATTTCAAGTTTAGTATATACTTAAACTATAGTAAGTTTAACATGTCATTTGGATACCCTAGGGCAGATGCCTGTAGCAAGTGTGATGAGATGAATGCAAAAATCAAGACTCTTCATTCTGTTGACAATGCAGCGCAGATAAAAGCTCTATCTTTGGAAAATTGCACAAAACTCGTGCCTAGGTTTACTATGATAGAAAACGAGCTGCCCGAAAACAACTAGAACTTTTGAATATGAACCAATCGTCATACACTACCAGAAAAACATTTCGCTACCCAACATTGCACTAACGATGGTTATTATTGGAGACAATTGTCTATGTTTCTGTTCAACATTCACGTACTGTCTTCAGGAAAATCCTTTTTTTTACATATCCTGAATATATGTCAAGGAAAGGATCGGACGAGGTATCACCATTTCTGTTCTTCTTTATTTTCAATGAACTATCATCAGATGGGAAATCACGGCTACTTAAACACTCCCACGGTGCCTTACAGAGGGACTTCGACCAGTCAATTCGAAGTGCCCTATGCATAAATTCCAACGTCGATAGATATATGGCATTTTCAGATCTCTCGGCCAATAGTAAAATTGAAAGCAGTTTCAAGACAGGACGATGCGCATCAGGGTGCGTATTAGTTCACGACTTATGCACCAGGATGACAGAACTACATCCCACCTCCTTTGGAGACTCTATGGCTGGAAAGAAATTTATTAAAAACAAAATATTTAAACAGAAATACAATACAATACATTAGTGTCAAAAAGGAAGACTGTCTTTTGTTTAATACTATTCTAGAATTATAAAAATTTTTGGCTAAAATATTTTTTTAATTTCAGGTGGTTTACTAGGTCTAGCAGCCAAAACTCTCAAGAATGACCAATCGAATAAATATATGAAAGTAGCAGAAGAAATCACTCGTACCTGCCACGAATCCTACGATCGCACTGCCACTAAATTGGGTCCGGAATCCTTCCGATTCACTGAAGGATCTGAAGCTAGAGCACTAAAAACGTCAGAGAAATACTATATCCTAAGACCCGAAGTAATAGAAACATATTTCTATATGTACCGATTAACCAAAGAACAAAAGTACAGGGACTGGGGTTGGGAAGCTGTTCAAGCTCTTGAGAAGCATTGTAGAGTCGCTGGAGGATTCACGGGACTTAAGAATGTTTATGCAGAAGATCCACAACAGGATGATGTACAGCAGAGCTTCTTTTTAGCTGAAACTTTGAAAGTAAGTGATTTTTTTTTTCAGTCTTTTACTCATTTATGTTAGTCCTCTATGATTATTTTTAAGATCTCTAAGGATGACATAAATTTTATGGTTTTATTTTAAATTTCCTAGTAATATTGATATTGCGCGCTATTGTCAATTCCAAAAAGCGTTCATGTGTGAGACTTTTCGCTGTTAAGTAGCTTTCTTTGGGTAATAACTCTCCCTAGAACTTCTTCATTGGTAATATGGTACACTGATGGAATTTTTGAAATAGAATTTAATCTAGACCCACGATATTTAAATTTCTCAACTATGTCTATGTATTGTTCAATTGTTCTTGCATGTGCAACAATCTACTGGTCTTTTTATCAATTTAGTTTTTGTCCCCATCTCTTAGCACCTTCCTATAATCTGCTATGATAGCCGAATCGTCAGTATATTGCTGATGTTTTATAGGGATTCGATATTTTGTATACATACGAATATGCATTGAAAAATTCTTAGACTACTATAGAGGCAAACAGAATTTGAAAGTCAAAATATTTTATTATTCAGTATGCTCTCCTCTTAATTGGATGCATTTATTACAAAAGGTCTGCAATGCCTCGCGACCCTTAAAAAAAGTAGTGGAAAAAAAGAGCAATGACCTGCATAGATATTTATGGAGGGTGCACACAGAAATTGTCTTTTCCCTTCGTCTTCAATAGAAAATTTTCCTGTTTTGAAGTTTGAACATCTATTTTTCATGGTTACGTACAAGGGTATCGTCAATCTGGTTACATCTTAACCCGTTCAAATGCAAGTACTACTTGGCAAATTTCACTTTGTCTCTAAGATGCACAAATAAACAGCGACCGTGCTATGAGTGAGGGAGATATCGGTAACTCAGAAAGTTTTTGTTATTATGTTCAAAATAGAATCATAAGATTTCGGTTACATATTTTTATAATAAATTTATTAATAAACTTCTAAATCGTCTAAGGATGTCAATAAAAATTCACATAAAGTCAAATTCACATAAAGAATTTTTAAATCAATAATTATCCTTATAGGTATTAGTATAGATTAGAAGGCTAAACAACTGCATATTTTCAAAAAAGTTTTCTTCAGCTCCTTCATTAGATACGAACATGATTTTTTTTAAATATTATCTTTGAGTTAAAAAAAATTTTCTTTTATTAGTTTCCATAAAGAGCCTGTTTTGTCTCTAATCTGTTTGTCCCTAAAGCCCATATTATTTGAACGCATCCGTATTTTAGATATTCCTTACTCATATGCAACACTATTAGTATGCAACTTACATATCACGTCTGTAACCTATAACTTGATGTTAACTAAACACGTGAATCAACAACTCGTAAATAATACAATTTTAGTAAATCAATCGCTTTGTTAGGGCTCTAGGTATTAACGAATATCAAAAGAAAAGGTAAAAAAGTATTTTTGAAGTGTGTATAATAATATACACACTTCAAAAATACTTTTTTACCTTTTCTTTTGACTTGTCATAAGTGTGTACAAAAAACATATCAGTCTTTTGATTATTAACGAATATCATTAAAGTCATTTTAAACAGTTGTATTTCGCTACAAATAAATCAGTAATGAAAGGGTTAAACAAAACATTTTAACGGGATTACTTAAAGAAACCGCCCTTGTAAAGGTCGATTCAGACACATCAGTCACGTCTCGTCACAGTGATTGCGCCGAACCGAACAATCCGTCATACAAAATATTCTTTAATACAAATATGTTGCCGGCATTCACACTCATCAGTTGACAAACAGTTTCCCAGCTGTCAGATAGTTGATAGTTCTGTGACCAAACAGGACCGGTTCGGCGCCGAGACTATGACGAGACTGATGTGTCTGAATCGACCTTAAGACAATCAATCGGATGGTAAGACACTATGGGACAGAGTTAGAAGTACAGATACACGACATAGATGCAAGGTGGAGAACATCAAAAACTGGTAAGAAATAGAAGAGTAGAATGGAACAACCATATTAGCCGAATGACAACAAATAGAGTAGTAAAGATGGCGAGAGACGGTTCCCCAATAGGGAGACGATTAGTAGGAAGATCACGAAAACGATGGAATGACAACTTACTGGAGGCACATTGGAAAACAGACAGAGTCATGTCTATATAAAAAGAAGAAGAAGTACGACAATCAACCAATTTAAATAACCAGTTTAAAAAAGTCGATATTTTTTAATAATTTTTGCATTTTAAAATTTATTTTTCGATTTTTTTTCTAAAAAGTGGTTAATTGTCTTGTAAGGACCCTTTTTTTAAGTAAATCTGTTGGAATTATTTGGTTTCAGATGTGCCAATCATGAGAATTAGTCTCCGTTATCGGACATCTTTTTTTGAGACTTTAACTGAAACGCCCTCTTTTTAGTACATGGGAATTAAAAAAATATATACACTGCGCTCCAAAATTAACGCATAATTTTAAAATTCTTATTTTGAGTTGTAATGAAAAAAATTTTGTTTGTTCTTTTCTGCTTTATGGTTGTTTTAGAACATCTTAAATAAAACTATTCTTTTTTTACAAAAAATGTATTGAAATTAACAATATAAAATCCTAACATAAATCATAACATCTAAACGAACTAATCTAAACAAACTAACATCATAAATTAATGAAGAAAAAGTATTTAAAGTTGAAGACAATACTACTACCGTGTACTAGTATCGAGTATTGCCTCCTCTGGCATTTATTACTGCTTGACAACGATCTTTCATACTGAGAATAATCGTTCTGATTTCTTCTTGATCAATTTGATTCCAAATTTCAACCAACCGCAAAAACAGTTCATCTAATGTGTTTGGTGCATTAGGTAGTTGTCGTAGTCGTCTGCCTATGATGTCCCAAACATGTTCTATTGGGTTAAGGTCAGGACTTCTCGCAGGCCAATCCATGGCAGGAATTCCAACCTCCTGTCGATACTGCTGCACAATTCTTGCCGTGTGTGGCCTGGCATTATCTTGCATAAGCATGAAATTTTCCCCAATAAATGGTACAAATGGCATGACATGCTCTTCTAAAATGTCTGTTATATACCTCTGCGATGTAAGCCGACCGTGATTTATTTTAACTAATTCCGTACGAGCCTCTAAATTAATCCCACCCCATACCATTACCGAGCCGCCGCCATACTGTACAGTCCCTACGGTGTTACACTGTGCGTAGCGTTCCCCAGGCCTTCTATACACTCGGTTTCTCCTGTCATCAGAAAAAAGACAGTACCTGGATTCATCGGTGAACAATATTCTTCCCCAATCGTCATTATTTAAATCAACATGTTCACGAGCAAAATTCAATCTTTGTCTTCTATGGTCTCTGGTCAATAATGGGCCAATTGGTGCCCTTCCAGGGTGTAGGTCTTTTCGGCAAGTCTTCTTCTAATTGTATTTTGGCTGATTCTAAAGTTATATCGATCCAAAAATTCATTTTGTAGAGAAGTACTGGAAACAAACCTTTGCCTCAGTGTACGAAGTGTCAAAAACCGGTCTTGATTAGGAGTTGTAACCCTTTTACGGCCTTGACCGGGTCTTCTCGAGTTACTTCCAGTAACAGAAAAACGTGTTAACACTCTTGAAATTGTTGACTGGGTGACGTTAAAACGTTCAGCGAGTTCTACTTGAGTGTATCCTTCTTCGCGAAGAGTAACGATTCTAAAACAGTCACTTTCTGACAAATTTCGATTTTCTTGCTGCGGGTGGTTCATTTCAAAGAAAAAACACTTAATAAACTTGAAAACCCCTTTAAACGTTCAGCACAACGAAATCCAACCCAACTAAATTCGAAATAAAATGAAGCACAATTAGCATGTTTTTAATTTTTTGCAAAAAAATGATAAAAACATCAGCGTTTTTTACCGTTCTTTCGATAAATTTTACAATATACCGGGGATAACGATAATATATTAGCACAAAAATCGAAACATTAAAATTATTTAATTTACCAGGGTTTTTAAATTTGTGCGTTAATTTTGGGGTGCAGTGTATTTTTAGTTTAATTCAAAGATAAAATTATATTTAAAAATAAAAATTATTTCATGTTCCGATCAATAATAAAGGTGCTGAGAAATTGTTTTTTGAAAATATGCATTTTTTAGCTTTCTAATCTCTACTAGTACTTTAAAATGAACCATTTTAATTGTACTTAACCTTATATTTTATTAATACCCCTTCCACGTTCCGCTTCCAACGTCATAAATTTCAATACATTGCAGGCGATTTTACCACCATGTGCACTTAAAACGTTATGATTTATTAACGAGATAAATTCCAGATTAAATGATTTTCACTTTGTGACGTTTACAAAAGGTAAGGCTCTATAGGAAGCCTGCACGCGTGAACCAAACGTAGATTTAACCAAAGACAGTTGCTGTATTTGCCACTGTGTAGCTGATAATGGTTGACATTCATTTTCATCCTTGCATCTCAGATGAAACTTTACAGTGACACCTCTAATACTTCTTCATTGCTATGGTAACGATTTTTAAAAAATTTATTAAGGAACCGGTCTAGGCTAACTCGATATCAGTTGAGATATAACATAACTTTGTTTTCGTCCTCCACCGCAATTGCTAAAGAATTTTGAATTTTCAATACTGTCAAGTCAGCAGTACTCATGCTCTCTGGACTAAATAAAAACGTTCAAACGCTCAGAATTTCCTCAAAGGAAATCAAAGAGTTCTAATAATTTTATCAACTCGATTAGATTTTTCATTATACAAAATATATAATTAATAATTATTTGTTGCAGTACCTCTACCTACTCTTTTCTGATGACAGCCTATTATCGCTAGACGAATGGGTATTTAACACGGAAGCCCATCCTCTACCAATAAAGGGAGTCAATCCTTTCTACAGGGAGTCCACACAATAGCACCGACTCTAAATTCAATTAAACGACTGATATATAGAAACAATTAATTAACTAATTAATTTATTTGAACAGATGAGAGAAATAATATATATTTAATTACGTTTAAACAGTATACAGATCAGTTTCCAGTTAATTTATCAAAATTGATATATCCTTCGTAAAGTAATTCATAAGGGCCAGTTTGATAAAACTTTTAGTTGATCTGTATATTGTGAACATCGACGATGTGTCCCAACTTTCAGGTTTAAATAATTATTAGTAATAGTATGACTAAAATCGTTATAACTCTAAAACTTATTCGTTTCATGGCATTTGCAGAGGTACGTTAAATATTTTCAGATGTTATAAAAATATATTTTAAATATTAGTCAAACCTCGTATGCATCTATTATGCAAAACATTTTAAAAACATTTAAGTCTTAAACAGATTGTTTGCTACCTATTTTTATTGTTAAATAACTTTTGCATCAGTTGTTACATTCTGATATAACCTTTTATTTGTCGTAACTATTTTCCGCCGACAAAATTTGTATACTACTGGTGCCATCTATTGCTATTTAGGAAACTGCTCCTTTGTTATTTCTCCACAATCGCATTTTACTTCTACGTAAAAAAATAAGAGCTACATTTTTTTGTACCTTAAATATCAATTTGAATTGTTTCTTTTAGTTTAAGTGAATAATAATACTCTAAGACAAGCAAAGTTTTACCGGACATTTGGGACACATTCGAATTAGGTAAATAAAATATGAAGCGACTGGGGTCTTGTAAAAAGGGTTAAAATCTTTGTATAGTGAAAAGAATTCGGTGTGAGTGTGTTGTGAGTATTTCTGTGATCTTGAAACTTGATAGATAAAGTTGGAATACTTTATTGTAAACTTAGAGATGTACAGACAAATTAGAGCATTTAATCTGATAGCACAAAATACAAAATAGCGGCTTTCCAAAATAATTAATTCAAAATTTAATAATTTGGTGTAAGTTTATTTAGTTTAAAGTATAGACTAATAGTATGTTAATCGGACACATTTTTACACTTAAACTCAGTGTCCACGGACGTCAAACGTCATAGTTGACATGAACATGCGCATTGATTCAGCAAAAGTTAATGACAATGAGTTAATAACACACAAGCACAATTATGACAGTGAAGTTCGTTCAATCCGAAGTTATATTCTTTAAAATATATTGCTGAAAACTGCAATCCATAGGATCGGGCATAAAAAAAGGCCTTGAGGTTAGCACATCGCACTAAAAGGTAAAAAACAACAGATGCATAGTTTTTCTTCTTCTTTTGTTGCCTATTCGTTTCGAATATTGGCGATCATTCTGGCTATAATTATTTTATTAACTGATGCTTTAAATAGATTAGTTGTTGTAAAGAGCCATTTCCTTAGGTTTTTTAACCATGATATTCTTCTTCTCCCAATTTCTCGCTTTCCAAATACTTTGGCTTGAAGGATTATTTTCAGTAATCTGAATTTAGTGCCGTTTCTCATTATGTGTCCGAAATATTCTAACTTTCTCCTTTTAATTGTATACACCTCTTCCCCATTCATCGTAGTACTAGTTGGTTATCTTGTCCGTCCATTCTTAGGATTCTTCGGTATAGCCACATCTCGAAGTTTTTTCTCTATCGCTTCAGTGAGTGTTTAGGATTCAACTCTCTAGTATAGTTTTTATTCTTTTCAAATTTCTTGAATCAAATTTTCCAGATGATTGCGAATCTCTTCAAGTTATATTTCTTTCAAAAAGTTTGAAATATAGTTCTGCTGTAGAAGGAAGAGTTCTTTCCATGCATTTATCCCAAATATCATAGGCTGTGATAATTTGGAAGCAGTTAATGTCTACAACTTCATCGATTCGTTTTACAGTTTCTAGGTATTTTTCTCAATATAAATTGTTCTGTCTAGTTTTACTATTACTAGGCATAGCCATACTAAATTTACTTAGTTTTTTGTGTTTGATTCAAGAACTATATATTATAGTCCTTTTGTATTTTACTATTAGAAGTATCAGCCTATTTTTCGCTCATTTTCGCAACTTTATTGACCGCAGCTCGAAATGGTCCTGAAATGGTCAAGGAAAACCATTAGGGTAGTTACATATTTTCCTCGCAGAGTAGCAAGACAAGCAGAGAAAATCAAAAACTAAAAAGTCTTCCGCTGGGCGACATGCTCTCTATGTCAACTGAATACGGACGGAAAATCAGATGCATGCGCGCTAGAACTATGAACATCCATGAATATGGGATAGTATTATCACGAAACTACGATTTGGTATCTTACATATATTTTGGTATGTTTTTATGCTAAATATTGTAATATGTAATACAATGGCATCTATGGTTATACATACTAATCAAACATTTCTTTTTCATTGTGCGAAAAATCTAAATTTTACATACTTTCTATTTTGTGCTGCCAGAACATTTTTTTTTTGATTATTTTTGTTGCTTTGTTATTAATTTGTTACTGAAATTGCATTTTTTTTATTTTGTAAGTAAATTACCAACAAAATTCCATATTTGAACAAATTTATTTACAGAAATCTCTCATTTTATTCTGCACCAGTTGACGATTACTACATCTGACTATCTTGTAATATTTTTCAGTTTTAGTGGTATATAATGAGAAACTTCTGTATACATATTTGAAAATACAGTCCAATGTTAAGTAAATCACCGATTTTATTTATATTTGTTGTTAAAAAATGAACCAGGGTCCAATAAAATTGATCAGTACTTTTTATTTTGAATACTAACAAACATTTCCTACATTTTTCCATACCGCACAGTATTAATATAATTTTTAACATTTACAGTGTAAATATTCCACTATTATATACATATTGTGTAAAGTCATGACTGTTATTACCTGTATATAGTAAAAATTTCATTTATACATGGGAGTTTTACATCAAACGCGAAAGAAATACACAGTACACATCGGAAGTTCGTTCTGCCAACTATTTTCTTAGTCGTAAAACTTTAATTAAGACATTTTTGGGCTACTAAACTAACACACCTGTATATTGATTTAATGATGATAGTAGCCTTTTTTAAAATTATTTTGAATGGGATTTTGATTGGAGTTTGGAAGAATACGCAACTTGAACACAAACATAATGTACAGTTAGCCTTAGTTCAGTTATTCAAAAATCTATTAACTTGGTTTAATGTTTTAAGAAAATAGTTAGTGCCTAACTTAGACGAGCTAGATATTATTCTCGAAAATACTCTTATCTTCTACTTTTTTTTTTATCAATCTACCGTATTTCAATTTACATTGAAAATATTCGATACTGATAGGAAAAATAAACACTTCTTTAACGTTATGGTTTCCAGATAGGAGGTCCTGGTCATAATACGAGTATAGTCAATGGTGCTTTCAATCTGAACAGCAGGAATATTAATAGAGTTAAACAAGATTATTTAGATGTTTATTCCTGGGGATGCATTCGATCTCCTCAACAGTATATGCCATTTGGTCCTTCTTAGTGTGTCTAAATATTCTCGAATTTTCTACTATTCAAGTAAAATATAACAGCAATATTTCGAGACTGTATTATGATCATATCTTCAGACTGTACATGTATGAAGATACAACATGTACTTTAGAAATGATTAGACACTAGATACCAACGATTCAAACCAATAAGGTTTAGAATAAAAAAGAAATTCTCGGTTTGCGATGGCTATACCATGCAATGAAAATGAACTACGGAGTAGCCAAAACTCATATAAAACCAAAGGTCGGATGGAATAGGGAGAGGAGAGACGTATATTCCTTTAATTTATTTAATAGTATATCTCCTCCATTTACGATTGTTTCTATTACAATTCCATCCTCTCCTGGCGCTTTCTTATTTTCATTTTTCTTAATGCTTGTCGAATCTCATCTAGCTTAATTTCTATCATTAGTTCGGAACCTTGATTCATGATTTTCTTTAAAATGGCTGTTTGTATTCCTGTTTGATCTTTTATTTAACTTTATTGATTCTTCACTTTGTTTTTTAGAAGAGTTACCTTTTTTATTTTTATCACGATTCGTCGCCGAATTTTTTTTTGTTACACGTAAACAAAAATAAGGACTTGAGTCTTCCAGTTCTGCGTCACTATTACTACTATCCGAAATCAAGGGTGCTATTGGACGAGTTCGAGCTTTATTATGGGTATATTTATATGATTGATGATCGCCAACAATTTCATTATTATTCAAAGTGTTGTCTATAAGGAAATCGAAGGACACGTCCCCGTTTGGATGATTGCAGCTTCTTACTGATTCACTCCTGCTTCCTGCAGACTTATTAAGTTTTATCCTTTTTCTAGGTTTAATTATTTCCTCTATGTCTGATTTGCTAGGATTGCTATTGCTGTCATCAGATATACATATCACTGGCACAATTGGAGCCTGTGTGATAACTTTGTCTCCTCTATAATTACTGGAAGGTTCTTTTTTTACAGAATTAAATCCTTGAAGCTGCAAGAATTCTGCAGCTTCTTTAAATCTGGTTTTATCGTCTATGACACATAATATCTCCTTTATACATGTACTCCAATATATACCTCATAACTAACTTTGAAAAGTGTCTTAAATTTATTGTTTTCGGTTCTGCTCTATGATGTTCTACCATTTGTCCGATGATTGAACTTTCACCAGCCAGAACAACACAATGAGCTGAAATTATTCCATCTTCTACTAATATTTCTGTGTCTACTAACTCTCTGTCCATATAGATATTATACAGTTTATCTTTTAACATAATTTTTCCATTTGAAGATATTCTAGGCATTTTAAATTATTTTTTTAGTTATTTCCATTTAAATTTAGTCTAAAAGAACTTATTGTACTAAAAGGAATTCAGTCTTAAACATCCTTAAACCGCTTATATTTACGGTTATAAAACGGTTTTCAAATACATATTTAAAGCTAGAATCATCCAATCGGGGACGTGTCCTTCGATTTTCTTATAGATAACACTTTGAATAATAATGAAATTGTTGGCGATCATCAATCATATGAATATACCCATAATAAAGCTCGAACTCGTTCAATAGCACCCCAGATTTCCGATAGTAGTAATAGTGACGCAGAACTGGAAGACTCAAGTCCTGATTATTGTTTACGTGTAACAAAAAAAAAAAAAAAAATCGGCGACGAATCGTGATAAAAATAAAAAAGGTAACTGTTTGATCTTGTCTACTCGTTTACTTCCATATAATTCCTCGTAAAACTCTTTAACGACCTGTATTAACTCGTCTTTACGTGATAGCGAAATAAAAACTAGTTAATCAAGGAACAATACAAGATCAAAAAGGAGTTGTAGAGCAACAGATAATAGTGCTAATTTATTATAAATGTTAAAACAACTTCAAAGTGATTTAACTACTCAAGAAAACAACCCAACAACTCAGGAAATAAACTGATCATCAACAAATTATATACTTCTATATTTTGTAATACTGGCATTGATTTGAGTTGCTCTATATTATTTTAAATAAAAGAAGAATATCAAAGTCTAACGATAGGATGAACTACCCCCAATAGTGTGGTAGTAACACTAGAACAGGTCATTGGATTTTTCCAATTTCACGCACACTGATAGAATTAATTTATTTTTTCGTTGGCATATGTCGAAATAACAATATATGCCAAATAAAACTCTTGTGTCACTCACTCAATGTGCTCATGTATTGATGTCCGATTCTATCGCGCCGGTTTAAAATAGTCGCGATTGAAATATGACAATTGTCTTAAAGTGACTTCCAATGTAACATATCTTTTTCTTGTTTCTAGAACCATACTTAGTGATAAAAGAGCTGATTTCAAATGTCAAAAATAAAAAACAAAGGAATTCTATTAAGTTGGAAAGCTGACAAAATAAATCGATCAGTCCGAGCGTTTTTCATAAATGTTTAAAGCTACCAAATTGTTAGGGATGGTTTAAATGTCGAACCTTTGTCATTTTGAAACAGCACTTCAGTAAAATCTTGGAACGTAGTGACTTAAACAAGAGCAAATGAAATATTAACTGTCATATGATTCCATGTAAATTAACTTTACAAAATGGCGTCCATCCGTGATTACGTTACCAAAACATCGTTAAACCAATCTACAGCTTCCTTATGATTTATCCATTTATTTAGTTTTAATTTAATTAAATTATTAAAAAAATGCTTCAAGAAATAAATGGGCGAGGACGCACTTTAGACGTATTTTGTATAGAAAAAAAAGACAGTGTAAGGGTATTTTTCTTCCTAAATAGTTCTTAAGCTTACGTATCTGATAAATCTCCTAATTTTATCATTTGTGTATATTCTTATCCATGTATAAATAAATTTATTCCATAATACCTAAAGACTAGTTGCCAAAAGTGACAAATTAGTATTAAAGCAACGCATCTTAGATTTATTCAAACTATAATAATAGTGTAATTCTTATGAATTGTACAATCTTGTAAGGTGTATTTTGTTTAATAGTAAGTATCTAATAGTGTGCAAACGGTTCCTACATAGGGCATGGTGCGTTGTTGCCTAAAAACCAAACCAATATGGCTTTAACGTGGGTAAAATGTACATAAACGTATTTAGTGTTCAGCAAGATTCTAAAACTGTACAAAATGATATTTTTTTACAGTATTGGTTGTTTGCTGGAACAAACCTAATGTAACAAGTCTTTTGTCAGTTTTCCTGTTTGAGATTTTACATATTAATTTGTTACAATTTTAAGTTTTTTTTATTTGATACTGCTTAGTTATGTCGTTAAAACAGTCGAAGGAAAATGCATAAGAATGTTAAAGACCATAGCAAAAAATACACGACGCCAATGGTTACTCAAGGAGACAAGTAAAAAAACAAAATCAAAATAAAATTTTAAAAATATTTTAAGACTTTTTAGAAAAGTTATGTAACGCAACAATATCAGGTTATTTTTCAACCACGAACTCTAACAAATGTTGAAATATAAACTGTATAAAACTACTAAAGATTTCAAGATAGTAAGAATATATATCTACAGTGGGTGATCAAATTATTAGAGCCACCCCATAAAATTTTACTTTTTGTTTAATAATGTTGTATAATTGAGCTATATAACATAGTTTTGTGTTTAATTATGTTTTACTGTGATTTAGAATCTTAGATAAAGTTTACAAATATTAAAAAAGAAACGAGTAATTACATGAAAACACTTGAAATTATTGATTGATATAAGGTTGAATGCTCGAATAAATAAACTTTGATAAAATGAAAAGCAGATATCGAGCACTGTTTTATTAATTAAATCTTGCCCAAGTATTTTCGCTTCCTAGAGCATCTGCAGCGTTTCGTCAATTTTGGGCTATCCAAATTATGCCTTAAGCTTAATACTTGATAGTGCCAACCTTTGCAGGTATCTTCTTGGTATACTTTCTTTGCATTTCTGGTAATTTTGTTTAATTTCTATCATTCTATCAATTGACACTTTGTGGTTATAATTTTATTAGAAATTTCTTTCTTCGTGAACTTCCAAAGATTTTCTAGAGGATTCAGATCTGGCAAATTGTCAGGCCAGTCCAACACCTTTATCTGGTTGTCAGCACGGAATTTTATAACAGATTTTGCCTTGTCACAAGGCGCCGAGTCATGTATAAACGTAAAACTCTTATTCAGGAACCACTCCTGGACTTGAGGAAGCATTTTTGTTTGCAGTACTCAATGTCTCAAGTAACTGGTTCTACTGCATTGTTCCTTCGACAATATAGAGT